TATCAGTGGCTATTAGCCACAAGGTATAGATAGGGGTTCTGGGGCAAGTGATGCTCTGTCTTCTTGGTGCTTGTGGGGGTCAACAGTGGGAGGGCTTCTAGTGTCCTGGCCCCACTGGTGGACCTCCTGATGGCACCTGGTATTTTTGGCCACTGTGTGACAGGGTGTTGGACTGGATGGGCCTTTGGCCTGATCCAACATTGGCGTCTCTTATGTTCTTACCACTGTGTAGTTCTTCTCCACTGGCCTAGTAAAATGTCAGTTAGCATAGTATTGATAAAAGAGGTGGACGTGGGAAGTGTTGTCAGATCAGACCCCTCTTATGGCGACCCCATAGGGCTTCCAAGGCAAGAGACAAACAGGTGGTTTCCATTGCCTGCCTCTGCATAGCGATGGACGTCTTAGTGGTCTCCCGTCTAAATATTAACCAGGGTCAATCCCGCTTAGCTTTGAAGATCTGACAAGATTGAACTGGCCTGGGCCATCCAGGTCAGGAGTTTAAGAAAGTGATCTTCTTAAAAGATCACCTTATTTTTACTCTAGATTTGAAAAGGCTATTCAACAACTGAGTTGGGTGGGTCTGTGGAAGTCCTGAACCTGGAAAAAGGATAGATGACAGCCAATAAAGTGAAGCTTAGTCCAGATAAGACTGAGGTGCTGTTGATCAATGATAAAGCTGCTCAAGCAGTCAGCCTCTCTTGAGTGTTTGTAGTACCCCAAAGGAGTAGGCTTGTAACTTGGGAGTACTGCTGGATACTGGCCTATGGTTAGAATCCCCTGAAATGCCCAATAAGCACTACCTCCACTCTATCTCTGGGGATGAATAGACTGCCTAAAATTGTTTGGTCTCCTACTGTTGCAGAAAAGGTGACCAACCTTAGTAGAATTCAATGTAGCTCTGAGTCAAAATGGAGATGTTACCCAGGTTTTTCAGGTTTAGGATAAAACTATTAGTTACTTACTGGTATCCCTTGGAAGTCAATTGGTGCCTCGAAATTACTGTGACCAAAAAAATACAGTTGGATGGTTTGATAGCGAATGCTATAATATTAAATTCCAAATCCGTTCTATTTACTACCTTTTTAGGGAGTATAACTCGACCCACCTGAGTATTTCAATTTTAAAAACCAGTTACGTCAAATAGTTAAGATAAAATATAAAGAGCACACTGAGAAACAATGGGCTAACCTCCTTCAGGCTACATTGTCAAATGACTCCAGAAAATTCTGGGCATTGGTGTCAGATAAACATAAAAAGAAGAGTGCCCAAATAAATGCCATCACCCCAGTTCACTGGTATGACTATTTTCTGAAGCTGTTCTATGATAATAACATAACTGCCACTAATTCCATTAACTATACAGCATCAGAAATAGATATTCCCCAATGGCCTATGGCCTCCAGTGAGACCAGAGGAGGTTATTCCATTTATTGAACAGCTAAAGCCAAGAAAAGCCCCTGGCCCAGATGCAATTCCACCCGAAATATTTAAAATAAATCCGGACTGGTGGGGCCACCTTCTTGGCAGATTTTTTTACCATAGTCTATAGAACAGGAATAATGCCAGAGTCTTGGACAAATGCAATACTGGTTCCCATCTTTAAAAAGGGTAATTATCAATTACCATCCAATTACCATCCAATAAGCCTCCTCTCTGTTATTGGGAAACTTTATGCTAGACGACTGGTTAACAAACTTGGATCTTGGATGTTAGAACAAGGAATTCTGGGTCAAGAATAGGTTTTTGTAAAGGGGAATCCACCCTTAATCACTGTGTGACTCTTATGCACCTTGTTAATTATAAGAGGCAAAAAGGCACCAAAGTATATGCAGCCTTTCTAGATCTAAAAGGTGCTTTTGATTCAATCATAAGAGAACGTCTATGGGAGAAACTTAAATTGATGGGGATGGAACCGAGGCTTTTACATTTAATAATGAAGCTTCATCATAATACGACCTGCCAAGTTAGACTTAACAAACTTGGTGACCTAACTGGCAAAATTCCAATTAATATAGGAGTCAAACAGGGCTGCCTTTTAGCACCCTTTTTTTTAATAGTTAGCTCTCCTAAAGAGAGAATTTTATTGCTTTAAATTTTTCAGAAAAAAGGGAGGGTATACAGTGGGATTAAGAAAAGTGGTGAGTGGTACCTTTCTTAGTAAATTATATTAGTAACAATAAGTTCTTCAGCTTCTTCTGTGTTTGACTGATCGTCTTTCATCTTAACCTGTAAAAAACAAAAATTTTAGTAATGTTAATAGTGTCCTTTTGGGTTAGTACAGTCCTTTAATGCGCTCTCCGAACAAATCTTCAAGTCTTGGGGTTTCTTCCTTTTACATCCCTCAGGTTATAAGATGGACCTTTAGCTGCTCCTTCTTCTTCCGGTTTCATGTCCTCCCTCTCCGAGCTGCTGTCTTCTTCTCCACTCAGTACTTCCCATTTTGCGAGTTCTGCCTCTTCCTCTGAACTGGCATGCCTCTTCAAAAAGTCTTGAGCTTTGAAAATGGAGTCAATCTTCTCTCTTTTCTCTTCAAATTTGAAAGTAAGTCCTTCTGGAATCAACCATCTGTAATTGATTTGATGGTTTCTCAAGAATATGGTCAGTCCTTTATAGGCTTTTCACTTCATTCGAATTTCAAATGGAACATCTTTCAGAATTCTTATAGTTTGCTCTCCAATCATCAAAGGCGTTGCCGATGTCGCTCTCAAAATTTGATCTCTGATACGCTGCTTGGTAAACTTGACTACCACTTCTGCTGGCAGGTTATTCTTCTTTGTGAAGTTGGAGGAGGCTCTGTAAGCCAAATCCATCTCTTCGCTTAATTTATCCGCTTCCCTGCCTGTCAGTGGTACCTTTTAGCACCCTTTCTATTCAACCTATTTATAAATGATTTGGCACCCACCTTAGATCCGATCAATGGTCACAGTCCTAAACTTGCCTCGATCCCCACCCCTTTACTTCTTTATGATGATGACACAGTGCTATTGTCTCTAACTCGTATAGGGCTGAAACGCCATTTGAAGAGCTTTGTAGACTATTGTGAAAAGAATAGGCTAGTTCTGAATTTTGAAAAATCCAAAATTATGATCTTCAGTAAGAGTTGGAAGCCGTCCAGATGTAATAGTGGAGGCCATTTCATTGAACAAGTCAAAAGCTTTAAGTATTTGGGTATCCACTTTTACTATTACACAAAATGGGTCTATCATAAAGAGAGAGCAATTGAGGCAGCGAACAACATTGCTGCGGCAATTACACGTTTCACCAGTACGTGCCAGCAGCCCTTAAAGTTTTTAATGCCAAATTAGCTGCTCAATTATTCTACAGAGTACCAATCTGGATTGAAGCCTTAAATGGGGACTTGGAAAGAATTCAGTCCAGATTCTTGCGGAAAATTCTTGGACTTCCCTCTTGTGTTCCTTATGCAGCTTTATGCTTAGAAACCAATCAAAGGCTTCTATTGACCAGAGCATGGCTGATAACTCAGTTCTGGCTTAAACTTCATTTCCATGCTAAAGCTAAAAGTATTATTACTCACATGTTAACTGAGTCCCATCTCTCTCCATGGCTTAGATATGTAGAGGAGACACTCTCTACAATGGGAATATCCCCAGATTATTTAGCCCCTTTTTCAGATAAACAAGCCTATGCTATTATTAAACAAAGATTTCTTGACATCGAAAGGCAAGAACTTCGGGAACGCGCAGCCAGCAGATGCTCCCCAAGCAGGTTGGGGACTTTTGACATGGGCTCTACTGCGAAGTATCTGTCAAGTTTAACAGCCCCACATCATCGCAGAGCATACATGCTTGCACACTTTAATGTTCTGCCATCAGAGGTGCTTTTAGGGAGGTACCGCCAGATACCATATGTAGACAGACTTTGTCCTTGCTCTCTAAAAGATATAGAATCCACTACACACACCATACTTCCTTGCCCCCTCTATAGGGATATCCGATCTCGTTTTATTACTCCGTTTCTAGAGGGTAAGAGGCTGGCACTCTGATGACTCAATTGTTCACTTTCTTCTGTTTAATTGTAATTGCGAAATAATGGAGGCTGTTGTAAAATTTTTATATTATGCAATCAGAAGACGAGGCGTGAATAGCCAAGTGTAAGTGACTGATGCATCTTAGTATTTTCCCGTATTTCCATGTTTTGTGCTTTCATGCCAATAATGGTTTTGTGTGTGTGTGTGTATGGTCTATGGTCGGAGTTCAGATCTCTACTGTGTCACAGAGCACCTTTTACCTACTTCAGCAAATTCACCAGCTCCTGCCATTCTTCAAAGCATGATCTGACTGCAGTGACCCATGTGCTGATCACATTCAGGTTAGATTACTGCAATGTACTGCACATGGGGCTGCCTTTGTAAACTGTCCAGAAACTTACTGTACTGTAAAATGTGGCAGCCAGGTTGGATACAGCAACTGTATTACTCCCCTGCTTAAAGCTCAGCAGCATTGCCTCCCTGGATGCTTCTGGGCGTATTCCAAAGTGCTGGTTCTTACTTCAAAGTCCTAAATGGCTTGGGGTCAGTCTACCTGATCTACTGTATTCTCCTGTACTATCCAGCCTGCCTATTAAAGCCCCACTTTCAGAGGTGAGGCAGGCAGCAACCAGTCAGACTTTATCAATGGCACTTTGCCTTTGAAATGCCCTCTCCCTTGAAATTCACCTGACACCTAATTTACCATCTTTTGGACACCAGCTAAAACCATGGGGTTTTTTTAAAAAAAACAACAACAGGCTTTTATCTCAAATGTTTCATCTTTTTAAATCATGTTTTGGTCTGCTTTTAACCTGAAGATTGATGTATGAATATCATTTTAGACTACTGAACATTATATGCTTTTGTTATGCCATGACTTGTTTTTATGATTATTATTCTTATGCTGCTGTTTTTACATCTCTGGAGTTGACATATACGAGTTGGTAACATAATAACAAGTAATTTAGGTGTGTGTGTTTGTGTGTTTTTCTGATTTTTCCCTTTCCTTCAGATCCTCCTGCAGGCTTTTTTTCCCAGAAGACCCAGTGAAAATTACCAGAGCAAAGGGCCAGTATATGTACGATGAAAATGGAAATAAGTATCTTGACTGTATAAATAATGTTGCTCATGGCAAGTGTGAAGTTAATTTCTCATTAAATCCCAACTACATGTTGCATGTGCTACCTCAGTGGTCATTTTAAATCAAGACAGCTGCTTCTGGTGGGTGCAATTGGGATCAGAGAAGTGGGGCAAGGCCCTATGTTTAACCTTTTCCCTTCTTACCACTTCCCTGCTGGGTATCATTCTGTGTCCCTCAGCTTTGACTCTCTATGAGGTTTCAGATATTTGCCTTTACAGACCGAAACTTTGCACATCCATTGGTCTGGCACCATGCAGCACCATAGCCAGCAATGCCAGAACAGAATGCCTTTGGAACAGAATTAAGGAAGACCTAGGTAAAGAATGGACCAGTGGATACTTACCGTGAGGGGTCCTTCTCCTCTGAGATAAGGAGGACATCTTGATGGGTGTTTCCCACCCTATCTATAGGGAGGCAGGAACCAATAATCTTCAACTTCCTGTCCTCTTGGTAGGGAATGCCCATCTCCTCAGTTCTGGAACTCACAGAAGCAGGAATAACACTAATAACAATAACATTAAACCATAACAACAGAGCCATAATCAGCTAACTACTGAGGAATAAACAGTATAGCATCAAAGACAGGAAGGAAACAAAGAGGTATGAAAAAACACTAGGTAAGGAGCAGCAGAATTAAAGGCTGACGATGACATGGGAGGGCGAAGATGCCCTCCTTATCTCAGAGGAGAAGGACCCCTCACGGTAAGTATCCACTGGTCCATTCTTTCTCTGAGAGGACATCTTGATGGGACCTCCCATAGCAGTGTCCTAATCTGTTGGGTGGGTCATTGTCATGGTTGGTCAGAACGTGTTGCAGAACTCTTCGCCCAAAGGCTGCGTCTGCTGAGTCGTACAAGTTTATTTTGTAGTGCTTAACAAACGTGGAAGGAGATGCCCACGTGACTGCTTTGCAGATTTCCTCTACTGAGGTCCGACTGGTAAGGGCAGCGTTCGTGGTTGCACTCCTTCTGGAATGGGCAGTAATGCCTAGAGGAGGAACCAGCTTCTGGGCCTTATATGCTTCAGCGATGCAAGTCTTCAAGGCAGAGCTGATCGAAGCTTTGGACATCTTGCTCCCTTTATTTAGCAGGGAGATTGATATGAAGAGAGACTCCGATTTGCAGAAGTTGCTAGTGCGGAATAGAAACTCTTTAGGGCTCTTCTCACATCCAGCGAGTGCCAGGACCTCTCTTTGGGGTGCTTTGGATTAGGGCAGAAAGATGGTAGAGAGATCTCTTGAGATCTGTGGAACCGGGAATTCACCTTCGGACAGAAGGTGGGATCCGTGAAGAGCACCACCTTATCCTTGTGGAAAGCGGAAAATGTTGGGTTAGCGGAGAGGGCCTCCAGTTTCAAAACTCTTCTGGCTGACGTGACTGCTACCAGGAAGAGGGTCTTCATTCTGAGCCACTTCAGAGAGATCTCTTTGATGGGTTCAAATGGTGGCGCTGTCAGGGCTTTGAGAATCACATTCAGCCTCCATGAGGGGAATCTGTGAGAAGTTGGGGGGTCCTGAAGTGATGCACCCTTTAGGAACCAATGCATGTGAGGATGAGCAGAAATGGTGTAACCTCTAAAGGTGGGTAGAACCGTGGCCAGAGCCGCTGTTTGACGCCGGAGGGTAGATGCCTTCAGCCCTGAGTCGTGTCCATCCTGTAGGAAATCGAGGATGGGTCTCAGACGTGGTTTCAGTGGATCTAAGCGTTTCCTTCTAAACCACCTAATGAAGGCCTTCCACGTGGTGCTGTAGATCTGACAAGTAGAAGATCTCCTGGAGACTATCATAATATCCTCTACTTTTTCGGAGAAACCTAGTTTGCGGAGCTTTTCCCGCTAAACAGCCAAGCAGTCAAGCGTAGCCGGTTCTGGGTGCCAGATGGGGCCTTGACTCAACAGGTCCGACGACACCAGCAGTATGAGTGGGGGTCGAAACGCAAGATTTTTTAGGTCGGAGAACCATGGTCTCCTGGGCCAGTATGGAGCCACCAGTATGATCTCTACTTCCTCTTCCCTGATCTTCCAGAGAAGTCTTGGTATGACCGGCGTTGGCATACATGAGCCCCGTGGGCCAAGGGGTCATTATGGCATCTGTTGCCTCCGCCCTGTGGTGATAAAATCTGGTGAAGAACCTTGGTAGCTTGTGATTGGCTGGTGAGGCAAAGAGATCCACTACCGGGCAACCAAAGTGGTTCACTATCAGGCCAAACAATTCCATCTTCAGGGAACACTCCCCTTCCTGAAGTTGCCACCTGCTGAGCCAATCCGCACGAGTATTGAGGAAGCCCTTTATGTGTTCCGCCCTGATGGAGGCCACGTTGAGTTCTGCCCACGTTAGGATCCTGTAAGCTTCTCTGTGGAGAAGTGAGGACTTGGAGCCCCCTTGGCTGTTTATGTATGCTTTTGCAGCAACATTGTCTGTCCTGACAAGGACATGATGGCCGGAGATCAGAGGGCTGAAATGAAGAAGGGCAAGGCGAATGCCCCTGAGTTCTAGCAGGTTGATGGGAAGTTTGGTTTCCTCTTTGAACCACACTCCCTGAGCTGGCAAGCTCAAGTGCATGGCTCCCCAGCCTTGGAGACTGGCGTTGGTAACTATCTGCTCACAGTCTGTCATATAGTACGCATGGCCCTGTAGCAGGTTTCTTGTCTTGGACCACCAGGTTAGACTGAGTTTGACCTGACGAGGGACCAGGACAATGGAGTCCACTTTTGCCATAATCTTGAACTGATATGGTCGAAAGAACTGTTGAAGAGACCTCGCGTGCATGCAGGCCCATTGGACCGAGTCGAGGCAGGAGATGAACAGCCCCCATCAGCTTGGCAAGTATCATCAGTGACAACTGTCTGGATTTGATGATTTGTTGAGACAGTGTACAGATCTTTTCTGCCTTGGGTTTTGGAAGAAACATCCGGTTTTAAAACGTATTTATGACTACTCCCAGATGTTCTATGGACTGAGAGGGAGACAGACAACTCTTTTGAAGGTTCACCAGAAAACCATGGGCGTGGAGGCACTGAATGGTGCTTTCGGTGTCTCTCCTGGATTTTTCGGCTGAGCTGGACCGTATCAACAGGTCGTCGAAATACGGGTGCACATGGATGCCCTGTTCTTGGAGTAAGACAATGGGGTGTATGAGAATTTTGGAGAACACCCAAGGGGCAATAGAGAGGCTGAACGGTAGAGCTGTGAATTGCCAATGTTGATCCTGGACACAGAAACAGAGAAACATGTTCCCTGAAAGGTGGGAACATGCAGGTAGGCCTCGGTCAAGTCGATGGAAGTCAAAAATTCTCCCGGTTGAAGGGCCTCTGCGATGAATTTCAAGGTCTCCATCCGGAAATGGCGTAGTCTTACAAATTTGTTCAGAAATTTCAGGTCCAGTATCGCCCTCCAGCTGCCATTCCTTTTGGGAACCTTGAAGAATATTGAGTAGACACCTTGTCCTCTCTCTGGGGAAGGTATCAGTTCTATGGTTTGAATGCTGAACAGGTGTTGTATGGCGTCTAGAGTGCGATGAAGCTTGACCCAGTTCTTTGCTACTGGTGAGGGGACAAATCGGTTTGGACGTCTCGTGACAAACTCAATGGAGTAACCTTTGGAGGTGACCTCCCGAGACTAATGATCTGCGTTGAGTTTGACCCAGGTCTATTGGAACAGTAGCAGTCGTCCCCCCACTGGCGCTGACCAGCAGTCATGCCTTGGAGGGCTGGTTGTCTCTCCCGGACTTGTCATCTCTGTTGAAGAAAGACCTACCCTGCCTGTTCTGGAAGGGGTTTCTTCAAAACGTTTGTCTATTTGTCCCCAAAGACTGCCACCTGAAGTCTCTGTTAAATCTTGGTGTATGTCTCTGGGAACGAAAGGAATAGTTGCTACAGTCTCTGCGATCTGGTCTGCCCAGGGATCTGGGCATCACCTTTTTCTTATCTCTGGTTTCTATAAGTATTTTGTCCAGAGAGTCCCCAAACAAACGGTACCCTTGGAAAGGGTATGCTGTAACTATGTTCTTGGCGTGAAGGTTTGCCTGCCAGGCTCGAAGCCAGAGCGTTCTTCTAGCCGCTACTGTGGAAACCAGGGCTCTAGAAGAGAAGATCATAGCGTCCAAGGTGGCTTCTGCAGAAAAAAATACGCTTTAAGGAGTCTGTTTGCACCTTCAGAAGGAGCTGCGGTGGCTCGTGGTTAAGTCGCTGAACTGCAGGCTGTGAAAGGTCAGTAGTTCAGCAGTTCAAGACCCGGGTGTGCCGCATGACGGAGTGAGCGCCCGTCTCTAGTTCCAGCTCCTGCCAACCTAGGAGTTCGAAAGCAAGAAATTGCAAGTAGATAAATAGGTACCACTTTGGTGGGAAGGTAACAGCGTTCCGCGCGCCTTGGTGTTTAGTCATGCCGGCCACATGACCACGGAAACGTCTTCGGACAGCGCTGGCTCTTCGGCTTTGAAACGGATATGAGCACTGCATCCCGAGAGTCGGATTCGACTGGCTTTCGAGCAAGGGAACCTTTACCTTTTTGCACCTTCAGCCAAGCGCTTGTTAGAATCAGGAATGAGCTGAACCATTTTCCTGGACCAAGCGATTGCCGCTCTTGCCACCATGGTGGCTGTGGCTGAAGCTCTGATGGCCATGGAAGTGGCCTCGTGTGCCTTTCTCAAGGCAAATTCTGCCTTCTTGTCCAGGCTGTCTTTGACAGAGCCGTCCCCATCTTCAGAAAGCAGGCCAGCCGTCTGAATTGCAGTTACCGGAGCATCCACTACAGGGACCTGGAGAAACTTATTGGTAAAAGATGGTAAGGCATATAGCTTTTTAATATTGGGGGGACAATGCCTATTAGCCATAGGTTTCGCCCATTCATTTTTGAGTTGCTTTTCAAGAAATTCAGGAAATGGGAAAACTTTCTCCATCCCAGGAGTTCTGGGAAAATAATCTTTGCTCCCCCTAGGTCTGGATTCAGTCCTCAATTATGCTGTCCTCATCTTGTAAGGGATCCCAGTGGGGATGATTTCCCTTATGGGCACAATGGTCCTTTCTGGCAGCCTTGGTTGGCCAGGGTCTGTGCTCTTCGGGTATGGGTCTATATGTTTCTAACTCCTCATACCTGTAATCTCTGTGGGAAAGGCCAGGAGATTGGGAACCACCCTCAGTCTGGCAAGGATGGCACAGACCTGCTACTTCCTCCCTTATAGTTTGTCTCAGAAACTGTGTAAGTTCAACAGAAATAGAACTTCCCCATTGATCGGGGCTAGTCACAAGTAATCCCGCTTGGGATTCTGTAGCTCTTGTAGCCTCCAAAGTGGCAATCTGGGCATTAGGTATCACCTGCCTGTCATCAACATTTGTGTCCTGGCTTATGGAAGCGAACGGAGCCACCCTGCAGCCTTTCCCCTCTCTGCCTGAGAGCCTCCGAGTATCCAAGATGGCGCCCACGGCACGAGGCGCAGGCGAGGAATGGGGCCGTTTCTTCACATGCTTTTCCTTCTGCACAACTTTGGCCTTTGAAGAGGCAGATTTCACCGCACCCGTCTTCGTTCGGGCGGCAGTCGTGCTCGCCGTGGCAAAGGAGGCTTCTTTCTCTCCCTCAGAGAGGAAATCGTCGGAGCCCTCATGCACAGCCATTCTCGTTCTCTCCCCAGCCAGAGCGACGAGAAGGGGGGGGGGGGGGTGTGCCGGATGCGGAGGC